AGAGCTAAGGAGGTAAAAGACCCTAGAGGCCCTTCAATTGTTCTTACATCTTAACACTAGAAAGGACATTAAGAATCTATTCAATATCACACATTTTCCCCAGGAAGTTAAAGGATTAGAAGTTAAGCAGTGTGTCCAAGGACATACAACTATTCATAACAAAACCTCGAGTAGAAGCCAAGACTTGTCAGTGCCTGTTGCATGAATGATTCTAATACCTGCTGGGAGGCGCTCCTTCCCTTCCAAACCATCTGCTTCTGAAAATACTTTTATACTTCCAGAAGAGCTGCAAAAATAGTACTGTATGGATAATTTCCATCAACTATTCAGGCAGCCTTCCCCACTGTTAATCTCCTACCTAGCCAAGGCACGATGAGGACAGCCAAGAAATTAACATTGGTACAATGCTATATTCTTTTACAAATGACGGAGAGAGGTCGAACCACTCGCCCAAGGGCACACAGCTCATCAGTGGCAGAATCCCCATCACCTTTAAGGACACAAGTACCCAGTTCCTTTGGTTTCATCTGAAATCCACCTTACATTAAAACATGTTTCTAGAGTGAAGGCTGGGTGCAAGCATCATACTGTCCTGCTGACACCACGGAGGCAAGGTCCTTTATAGGCATGCGAGACCTCTTCCCCCCTCCCCCACCCCGCCCCCGGAAGGGCCCTCGCGCTTCGTTTAATGCCCTGAGGCTGTTGCCGTCTTGAAATTCTTAATAATTTTATCTTGGAACTTGTGTTTTGTAAGTAACGGCCGATGGTACAATGGGGCGATAAACCGGGCAGCAAGGCGGGGACTCCCGCCAGCGGGCAACAGAGTATGACCCCTGCGGGATTGACCTGGCGCCTAGTGCGCACGCGCCAACCTCCGGCCAGTCCCGGGCGGGGGGCGGGGACTCCCAGATTCGCCCGGATTAGCGTTGGTGATCGTGGTGGCAGCAGCAGAAGCAGGAGAGAGCGGGTACTCGGCACTACTGTCCCCGGAGCCCATCCCTGCAGTACCTCTCTGGCCTGCAAACTTTGTCGGTAAATTATTACAGAGCAAAAGCGTACGCAAGAACATTGCAATAAAGCGTAACTAGAGTTCTTCAGTGAATTTAGGACCCCTGGTTTTGAAAACTGCTGCAAAGTTGCAAAACCAATATCCGCAGCCTTAGAAATAGAAATTAAATTGAAAGACTGTCATATTTGATGGAAAAGAACACTCTTTTTATGTGCTGCTTCAGCTGAGCCAATTATTAACGAAGAAGACAATTTTAAACTCGATTTTTCTCTTATAATTGAAGATTCAGCGACAGAATGCAGAAACAGACGACTGGAATTATGTACAAATCATGAAGCCACTTTCAGTTTCTTGTAAACCTCCATGAGTTACAGGAAATGTCTGGGGAAGCATTAAAATGCCATTTATACATTTGCATTTAAAATTAAATTTAGATTTACACCGAATGATTTGTATGAAGAGCTAAATATTTTTAGAAAAATTTTTCCATGAGAATCATCAGTTATCCATGTGCTAAAATTTATATTCGGAAATAATTTACCAGAAGTTTATTCCAATGTTGCCACAGCCTAAAAAAATACTTTTAACAATGCCGGTAACAGTTACATCAGTAGAAGAGTCCTTCTAAAAAGAAAAATTATCAAAAATTATTTGTGATCTTGCATATGCCAAGTGTGACTTTCAATTATACCAACTGAAAATGAAGTTGAAAGAGTACAAATTTTGAAATCAGCCTTTACTTACTTTCAGAAAAGTGAGCCAGAAGAATCTTATGATCGATCAAAATATCACGTTAATAAGGTATTATTTATCGTGCCTATAAATTATAACCAAAAATACTTTTTTTTGCAATTTTAAATTTGCTTTTACTCATGTATCACTATTACTCTTATTACATTTTATATGTAATAGGTATTTTTAAGGAAAAATCTTTATATTTTAGTTTTTTTTTTTTTTTTGGCTGTGTTGGGTCTTTGTTGCTGTGTGCCGGCTTTCTCTAGTTGCGGAGAGTGGGGGCTGCTCTTCGTTGTGAGGCTCAGGCGTCTCATTGCGGTGGCCTCTCGTTGCGGAGCACGGGCTCTAAGGGCGTGGGCTTCAGTAGCTGTGGCTCGCAGGCTCTAGAGCGCAGGCTCAGTAGTTGTGGCGCACAGGTTTCGTTGCTCCGCGGCATGTGGGATCTTCCCGGACCGGGGCACGAACCCGTGTCCCCTGCATCGGCAGGCGGACTCTCAATCACTGCGCCACCAGGGAGGCCCAGCATTTGCTTTTAAATAGTCTTCCTCACTCCCTTTCAGCTATAGAGGTTTATGGATAAGGACAGAGGAGGGACGCTCACGGTGAATGTGTCAACATAATACTTTTGTGGCAAAGTCAGGTTAAAAACTTCACACACATTCTGGCACACTAACTTATGTTACACTGGCTTATTGTGTGGAATAAAAATTAGAAATAAATTTAACTGTGAAAGAACTGCCAATCCAACACGATAATCTGTCACAGAAGAGACAAAAAGCTCACCTCCTGCTCCCAAGAGTATACTCTTCTGATTTTATTTTGATTTAGAAAACTTTAAATTGATTATTTTATTTTTATTGAAGTATATTTGGGGACTTCCCTGGCGGTCCAGTGGTTAAGACTCCACGCTTCCACTGCAGGGGGTACAGGTCTGATCCCTGGTTGGGGGACTAAGATCCCACATGCCAGTGGTGTGGCCAAAAAAAAAAAAAGGTAGGATTGTTGAAGTATATTTGATTTACAATATTGTGTTAGTTTCAGGTATACAGCACAGTGATTCAGTACTTTTGCAGATTATACTCTACTATAGGTTATTACAAGATAATGGGTATAATTCCCTGTGCTATACAGTGTATTCTTGTCGCTTATCTATTTTATATACAGTAGTTTTTATCTGTTAATCCAATACCCCTAATTTGTCCCTCCCCCCTAGAAAAAAATTTTTTTTAATGAAAGAAATACCAACAAGTACATCAGTGATATACATTTATGTAGTGACTCCTTCCAAAGAGAGATTCTTTACCCACTGGGATTGAGGCTTATTAACCTTGGCCTAAGTGTGGTCTTGAGCTGTCACTCATTTATTATTTATCTTCATACCCTCTAACCTGGTTCCCTATCCAATTTAAACAAACAAGACAGCCCTAAGTGCTCCCTTAAACCACCTAAAATATAGGCATTCTGCTACTTGGGCATCCGCCCTAGGTCCTGTCCATGCCCTAAGCTGATTTATGAAGGAGCAGAATTCTTGAGATAAATAAGACTCAATTCTTGCATATTTAAGGGATTCAAGTCTAAAAAGTTACTGAAAGAAATTTGAGTGGTGTTAACTGTCAGCAGAGGGCTGGGGTCCTTCAGGGCTAGATTTCTTTTTTATTTTTTTTGGTCATGAGGCTTGTGAAATCTCAGTTCTGTGACCAGGGATGGAACCCTTGCCCCATGAGTGGAAGCGCTGAGTCTTAACCATTGGACGACCAGGGAATTCCCAGGGCTGGCTTTTTTGCCTGTGCTCATTGGCACCGTTCCCAGTGTCCACGTGGCAAACAGTCTAATGTAGACACACAGAGCGAAAGTACAACTGAAATGTCAATGCTGCGTGCCCCCCATCCCCTAAATTATGGACCCTGATTTAAGAATATCCTACTGAGGCGAGAGGTCAATTACACACTACTTTCCTTGTCTCCTTGCCTGGAAGACATTTAACTTCACAGCTAAAGTCTAACCAAAGTCTGATTTCCATGTTTCCTTTAGTTCCTCACACAGGGACCTTCACCCAGCTGGACATTCTTCCCCTGGTAAGGGTTTCCTCACTGATGGAAACACAATCTCTTTACCTCCCTCAGACTTCATCCTCCAGTTCAGACTCTGATCCTCACCCTTTCACCTCTCTTTTGTTCTCTGTCCCTATTTCAAAATACTGCTCTATTCAAAAGCAACAAAGGGGGCTTCCATGGTGGCGCAGTGGTTGAGGGTCCGCCTGCCGATGCCGGCTACGCGGGTTCGTGCCCCGGTCCGGGAAGATCCCACATGCCGCGGAGCGGCTGGGCCCGTGAGCCATGGCCGCTGAGCCTGCGCGTCCGGAGCCTGTGCTCCGCAACGGGAGAGGCCACAACAGTGAGAGGCCCGCGTACCGCAAAAAAAAAAAAAAAAAGCAACAAAGGAAAAGCCAGACCTGGAAGGTAGTCTTAGAGACAGAGCTCAATCCAGGGCTTCCCTTGGATTGAGCCCTAGGAGGAGAAGAGGCACCCTGGCTGCTGGTTAAAATAAATTCTCGGGCCCCAGAGCAGCTCCACGGAATGAATCTTCAGGGAAGTGTTCCAGAAATGCTTAGTTTTAATCAAGGCTCCGGATGATTTTTTTTAAATTACCGGGATAGTTCGGGCAACACAAAGCGAATCCAGTGCTTATCAAACTTGAGCCTGCCTCAGAATCGCTCGGAGGGTTTGCTAAAGCACAGATGGTTGCCCCCCCCCCCCACCGCCAGAGTTCCAGTTTCAGAAAATCTGCGGTGTGGCCTGATCATTTGCATTTCTAACCAGATCCGAGAAGCTGCAGGTCTAGGAACCCCACCCTGACAAACTCTGATTCTAGTCTAGGGGCTCCTTTTGAAAGTGTGTTCACTACAGGTGAAGGGATTACTTGTCACGATTGATATGCTAAGGATAGGGCACATCTGTGCCATAGAGGGGAACCAGGCTCCTCAGTTAAACGTACTAACTGGAGGTCACTCACTAGGGAGCAAACAGAGCCCACACGCACACCTGCAGACCTGAGGCCACGGGAAGTCTCTAATTCTGCTTCTCTCAAGCCCCGGAGTTAGCGAAAAACAAACCAATTTCTTAGTCTAGGTTTGCAAAGCTTTGTTTAATTTCACTTTTGCTTTCAATTCTTTTTTTCATCACAAAGTATCAGAATGACTTAGGGAGTTTTCGTATCCCAGCCAAAGAACCTCACAACGATTGTAACATGGAAAAAAACTATCCCAGTTCCAGACAAATGAGCTTGGCGCACACTTGGGGAACAGGTCTCGTTGATTCCTGTACAGCGCAGTGCGTGTCTCGGTAAGTTCGTTACAGGCGGTGGAGATGGTACAGGAACAGCGAGTGACTGGAAGCAGATGCCTCAGCCGGCATTTTGCTGATCAATTAGGCACCGATGCGCTTGCTCCTGTAAGTAGGTCTTTGGGGAGTGACTGAAAAGGGATCCGATCCTTTGATGCTGGGCTACTTTGCAGACATTCTGAGAGTTAATAAAACTCATTACCTCTTAGCGTCTTAGCTTCCTTCTGGCAAGGGACAAAAAGCTAATTTACTCTAGTATAGTAGTGTGTGTGTGCGTGTGTGTGCGTGCGAGCAACTAAAAAAACATCAGAGGGAGAAATGCAGAGTGAAAAAAACTGGTTACTAACATTTATCAGCAATTTATTTATGGAATCCTATAGTTTCAGTGTATTATGACGATGACGCTACTTTCTATGTCTGGCTTCTTGGCATATAACCGTCAGCATGAGAATGGGTGGGAACCTAGTACGAGTTTATAGATAAACATTTCCATTTGTTCCCACAGGCTCACGAGCAAGGTTAGAACGCACAACTCAGGTTGGCGGGTCAGAGAAAGGAGCGTTCGTGAAAATGTTAATTATTTTTTCACGGTGTAAAGTGTGCAGATGTAACATGAAGAGAAAAGTTTAACCGAAAGGAAAAGACAAGTGTTCTTTTCAGGATCTTATCTTCAGGCAGAAACTTTCAAATTCATTGCAGAACCGGGAAAATAAGTATTGTAGTTTCAGCTTAATCTACGGCACACATTGAACGATGTTTTCCATACTATCTAAAGCCTTTGTGTAAATATGGTGCAAATATAGTGAATAGTCAAACAGGAAATTAGATGTAAATTAAACTCACAAGTAACTAGACAAAGGCAATCAGAATTAAAGAAAAAAGAATATAATCAAATCAAACTTCTGTTTTCAAAACTGCTTCTCCTTTATGCCTTCTTTCAAGTTTTACAGACTTGGTTTTTATCCATTGAGGAGGGATGAGAGTGTAAGATTCAGCTTTGTATGTTGTGCAGAAAAAAAAAATCAGAAAGGATGATTCTGTCTGGCACTACATTTGGAGTAACATGGAGGGGAGCTGTTGAATAATCAGATACCTGGGAAGGTGTACTTCAGAGAAATTTTGAAAGGGGTAAATAGTAACTACAAATTTCGTAGACTAGATGCTTTGAAAGAGAGCCTGCATCCTGCATGCATTCCATTTTCTTTCTTGAAAAAAATGGTGAAGGTCAACATTTTGTCCAAAATTTTTTTAATTTTAAAAATTCTTGTTTTGTATAATTACAAAAGTACTGTGCGCTTATCATATAAAACTCAAATATTACAAAAGTATGTGTGAAATATTCCCCCCCCAATATTTTTTTAATCCACTAAGCACTAGCATTCCCATTTTAACTGTATTTATTTTAATTTTTTTTTCCTTTTGGTTGCACCGTGTGGCATGTGGGATCTTAGCTCCCTGACCAGGGACGGAACCCACGCCCCCTGCATTGGGAGTGAGGAGTCCCAACAACTGGACCACCAGGGAGGTCCCTAGCATTCCCATTTTAACCAGAAAACTAGGGTAGATTATGAATAAAAGACTAAGTTCACTAAATTTCCTGGAGAGTTAATTGGGAATCATAACCACTGACTCGAGTACCTGGCATGCTTTCCCAGGCTTTCTCTCTGTGGACTTATAAAAATGTTTATTTTATAACGACTTCCCTAAGCTGCATCAGTCGAAGAATAAAATTTGATGTTAGGTTTTGGCATTCAATAGAATCTGTCAGTTAATCATTCTTTTAGAGGATGAATTATGGTGCACAAATGCTTCACTTTTCCTTTGTGGTCCTATTAATCCATTCATTGATGAATGTCTCATGAAAAAATAAAAAGGTCAGAATGGACTTTATGGCATATAGACCCTCTTGGTTAACAATCTATAGATTGGACTGCATGCTCCTTTTAGCAAAGACCCAGCCCAAACACCATGACCTAATAAATCTAATTAGTGTGTGTTAAAATAATTGCAGTGGTTGCAATGAGGTTAGTAGCAATGAGTGACACAGATGATTTTTTTTTCCTTTTTTTGGCAAGTTTTAAAAGCCTTTTAGGAGTTTTCAGAGTTTTTCATTTAATTGTGTAAAGGTGTTGCAGGGACCCATGACTGACTTTGGTTCTTTGTGCTCATGGGGTCTCTATTTAGGTTAAAAAGAAGCACTTAGCCCATCTTTTAAACAATCAAAGGTAGTCACGCTCTAATACCTTAACCCTGCAGAGCTATTGTCTGCTTGCAAGTATATTCTATAGGCTTTGCATTCAAGATTGATCTATGCAAATAAGAAAACCTTTTGTTAAGTAAATTTAGGAATGCAAATAAATATGCAAGAAAAAGAAGCAATTAAAAAATCTTTAAGCTACATTAGTAGTCATTCAAGTAGTAAAGCAATTGAGAAAAAAATAGAAATTATGTGGGTTTGTAAATGTTTATTTATTACGAATTGCAATATATTCTTTTTTTTTTTTGCAATATATTCTTTAGTTAAAATAGCACTGTGAAACAAGCTAGTGGATATAACAAAAAAAGAAACAGATTCACAGACGTAGAGAACTAGTGATTACCAGCGGGGAAAGGGAAGGGGGAGGGGCAAGACAGGGGTAGGGAATTAAAAGGTACAAACTTCTTTGTATAAAATAAAAAAGCTATAAGGCTATATTGTACAACACAGGGAATATAACCAATATTTTATAATAACTATAAATGGAGTATAACCTTTAAAAACTGTGGATCACAATGTGGGACACCTGAAATATATGGTATTGTACATCAACTAAAAAATACCTCAATTTAAAAAAGTGAGGGTAAATCTAAATTAAAAAAATAGCACCGTGAAACACAGAATTGTACCATTTGTAGATTTGACTGGGAGCAAATAAACTGGGTTAAGTGAAACATTTAGATAATTTATTCTTCTAATAATGTTAATACATATCCATCATTTTTTGTCTCCTGAATATAATTACAGTATGCCAGATATAGTCTAATCAGTCAAAATTTATCTTTTTTGTTACTTTATATAAAGAGGCAAGATAAACATCAAATAATATCCTAAATTTACATGAGAAAATTTCAAGAAGTCTTCTTTCTACTTACATCATTTTTTTTTTTTTTTTTGGCCATGCCATGTGGCTTGCAGGATCTTAGTTCCCCAACCAAGGATTGAACCTAGGGTCCATGGTAGTGAAAGCTCCAAGTCCTAACCACTGGACCACCAGGGAATTCCCTCTACTTATGTCTTTTTTTTTTTTTTTGCGGTACGCGGGCCTCTCACCGTTGTGGCCTCTTCCATTGTGGAGCACAGGCTCCGGACGCGCAGGCTCAGCGGCCATGGCTCACGGGCCCAGCCGCTCTGCAGCATGTGGGATCTTCCCGGACCGGGGCTCAAACCCATGTCCCCTGCATTGGCAGGTGGATTCTTAACCACTGCACCACCAGGGAAGTCCCTGTATGCCATTTTTGAGTGAATTTCTCCTTCTGTGCCTTCTACTACCACTGGTGATTCTGTAGTTCTGGCCAGGTCTTTTTCCTAAAACCCAAACTTGTTACTTCCAAATACATACTTTTTATATCTCAAATTGAACTCCTTTCCTAACTAACTGTCTCTCCTGGATTTTCTGTTATCACTTAATGGCATCACCAGAAACTTGGGAGTCACCCAGGACCCTGGACTCCTTTTTCCTTTGTCCTCCACATCCAATTGGTCTCCAGGTCCTACTCCACTCCAACTACCAATTATCTCTCAAACTTTCCCTCATCCATCTAATGGTCATTCCCTTAATTCAGAGTCTCATGAATGACTTTCCAAGAAACACTCTGATCAAGTCTCTCCTTTGCTTTCAGTTTTCCTTCCAGATCCCCCGCTGCTCTCAGAATACATTGCACCCTCTTTCCTGAGGCTTACAGGACTCTTTATGGTCTTGTCTCTACCCACTGCCCACCTTCAATGCCGAGTATCCATCACTCCAGGTGAACTCACTGATTTGAGGTTTATGGAATGATCTGGGCTACTGCAAGCTTCTGTGTATATGCTCATGTCATTTTCACAGGTTGTAATATTATACACTCCTTTATCTCCTGGTCCCACTGACTTGGAGAATTCATTTCCCTGAAGACTAATTTTGTATGTCCTGCTGGCTTCTCTCCACTCTCCATGTTCAGTGTAAAAATCTAACCCTTCTGTGTGGTACCCAAAGCACTGTGCAACTCCCTTGCTATGTACTTATCCCATTGTATTTTTATCCACAGTTTCCTTAGTTTTCTATTAGTTTGAACTTCTTAAAACCAAGAAGGCATTGGAGCAAAGTGGAAAAAACATGGTTTTGGGCAGAGACACAGTGGGTTTATTAACTCTGTGACTTTAGGCAAAAGTTGGCTCAATTTTCTCTTCTGTAAAATGGAGATAACACCTGCTTCATAACATTGCTATGAAGATTAAAATGAGATAATGATGGCATTGTTATTATTGTTATATATCCTTAACCAACATATTAGCATGTAGAAAGTCCTCAACAAATGTCATAAATTAATAAATTTATTAATACTTATATTCTGTCCTTTCTCCTGGTGACCAGTAAGATGCAATCATAAGACAAAGATGTCTAACCATGGCTATGGGCATCCTTATGACTTGTTGATTCTAGAACAAACAGTACATTGAACTTAGGCTGATCTATTTAGTAGACCATACAGAAAACAATTCTAAACTGTGTTTTTCAAAAATACTATTGTAAAACTTGGAGAAACATGAATTGAGAATTAGAAAACTGGCCAAGATTTGGAGAAAAGTTATTACATGGAACTAACTTAATTCATAAACACTGTCTGATACTGCTTTATTTTACCCCAGGTGATGGGATAGAGAACGAGAGCTTTGGGAGTTAACTTCCCTTCAGGGGCAGAGAGGAGGTAATAACTATTACTCTGTGCTTGCCAAACAGTCCGGGGAAGTCTGGTGCATATGA